TTGCTAGAATGCTTTTCTAGGAATAGCTTGACTTATTTCCCAATTAAGTTGATCCAAAATCTCTACTTCACATATTTTGTATTCAGTATTTAAAAAATAGAGAATCAAAGTCATGTATTAACCATACCAACTGATTGACTAGTAAAGTTAAATATAAATATATGAAGGTCTCCAAAACCTAAACATCTGTCATATTTACTTGTATGATATTAGATCAAGTAAGGCAGTAGATTCTCCTTTCACTATCATTAATGCATTTATGTGATTGATTAATATTTTTATTTATTAATTATTAATTATTAAATATTAGTTACGATCTATAGTTATTATTTAATATCATAGATTTACCCTCTTTCCATTTTAATAACACACTTTTTTGCTTTAACTCACTTTGAACTTTTTAAAGAAATATTCTTGTTGGTATATATGTATGTGTATGTGTGAACCAAGCAATATTCTAGCTTTTACCTTACTGAAACTAGTGTTTGTACATGTAAGCAATTTTGATCACAAGAACATTTTGGTATCTTGCAAAGTAAGATAAGCTATTGATATGAATTGATCTTTCATTAAGCACACCTATGCATGTCTTACAGGCACAAACCAAAAAGATGAGGAAAAACCAAAAACAGAAAAGCACGGAAATCTATTTACATCATAAGAATTAATCTATAAGAACAGTAAAAAAGATTGGTTTTTAGTTTTATATATATATATATATATATATATATATATATTTTCGTTTTACATGTTATTTTATAGATCCATATATACTATTCATGATATCTAATATGACATGAATGATTTGGCAGCTCTCAGGGAGCTCCATACTTATTATATAGTGGCATGGAATGCATGGTATGAAGAATTAACAAAGAAATGACAGATCTAATGAAGATTCACAATGATGCTCGCTTCTCTTCTCTCATAATTTACTCAGGCTGACCAAGAAAACATGTTCAACAACATTATTTCTCTCAACTTTTTCTTAGATCATAATTTTTATTTATCTTTTAGATCAGATGAGGGTAGAAAATTTTTGTTGGGTAAGTATTTTCCAATATTTCTCAAACAAAATGAGCATCACCAAAACTTCTTAATTTACATTTACTTTTCAGTTTAGATAGAGAAACATCAATCAATAAGATCCTTACTTATTAGTATATAGCTGAAAAGATAGATATCTATATATATAGATAGAGAAAGAGGGTTTGAATTTTATGTAAGTTCTCTATATCAATATGTATAATGAGTATTGTCTTCATTAAAAGAGTATGTTTAGTTCTTTTTTTGTTTATTTTCCACGAGTTTTCATTTAGCAAATAGTTATTGATGTCACTATATATTATATATAAATAACTTAAAATTAATATAATAGTTGAGTTTAGAAAATTATATTAGTAGCAAAATTGTAACAGCGATTTTCAACCACCTAAACATGAGTAAGAATTACAACCTTTTTTAAATTTGAATTTCTCTTTTTTACAAGAACAATTATCAAATTATCTTTTTCATTGGTAAAGATATTTACTTTTTCTTTTTTCATTTGTACGGCTATGTTCATTTGCTATTCAATTCATCTTCATTATTATTCAATTTTTTCTTTTTAAAGAAAAGTAATTCGTATCCATTAATTAATTTTACTTTTATCTTGTTTTAATAAAATAATAAATATTAAATTAATAATAATAAACATTAGAATTTTAGGGTGTCAATTAATTGAAAACATTATGTGGTTCTATCATATGCAACTACTTCAATTTTATGGGCATTCTATCAAATAATTAATATTTGACTCCTAATTTTAATATATAATAATATTTGAAAATCTAAACATATTAAATTAGCAAATTTATCTTAAATATAAATAGAATATTATTTTTTAAAAGATATAATTACAGAACCAACTCAAAACAGCAAAAAATCTGAAATTTTCACATAAGATTTTAGAATCTTTAATAATTTTTCTTAGTCAATTAAATAGAAAAACTAATATATATATATATATACTAAATGTGAAAATTAGTAGAAAGATTTTTAGATCTCTTATTCCTTTAGAATTTTTCTAAAGAAAATCCTTTTAATTCTCTTTCAATTAACCTCTATTTTTCTCTCTTCTCTGTTAGAGATTATTGAAGGCTGACTTGGGTTGGCCCATTAATCATAACTTAATCTTAGAATTATGTTTAAATATAACTTAATCTTAGAATTATGATATGATATAAATCTTCCATCCCGTGTATTTCCAAACAAACAAAATTACACCTTTTCATTTTATTTTCTCATATTTGCTGTTGTTTCTATTTATATAGAAATCAATTCACTTTTTACGGACAGCAAAAGATGTTATATTTTTTGTAATTATTATATACTTTGTTCGCGTTCTATTTCTACCACTATATATGCTTATTTTTTTTTACTAACTTTATAATAATATTATTACTATTAAAATATATTCATCAATCACTTAAAGTATCAAAAAAAATAATAATAATAATTCATTATGAACAAAAACGAACAAAACATTTTTATTTCAAATTTTATATTATTAATTATGAAAAATTTTACTTTTTAAACAAATTTTTGTGTTTTTTTTTAATGTAAAATGTGATAGGAGATAAATTGTATGATAATTTACAGAATAAGATCATTTTTTAAAAAAAAAATTATGGTTTTTAATCTTGCATAAAACAAATTTCAGCGAACAAAATATAACTTGCAATTTTAAATTTATACAACAATACTCTCCTAAGTAAATAAAAAAGGCAAATTTAATTTCACGTCTTGTGGTTTAAGCTTTTTTTTTAGATTAAGATATTTTAACTTTTTTTTTCTTTTTAATAATTTATTATCTTATATTTCAGATGTTAATCAAACTCGTTAACTTTGCGAATGGTAAAAGTAAAAAGTGATGTTATGATTTTTTAGCCATACACGTGGAAAAAAGGAAGTTAGTTGTTTAATTAAAAATTAAATTTAAATATAATAAAAACAAAAAAGTTATAATATAAAATACTGAAGCACAAACTTAAAATTTTAAAATGTAGTAAAAAATTACTAAAATCTTAAACATATAACATAAATATAAAAGTTTGTATAACTTATATCAACCACCTTATCTATTAAATAAAAGAATATAGTACTAGGTACTTTATTTTTTTTAAAAAAAAATTAGCACTACTGATAAAAAAAATCATTGAATTTCAAAAAACTTCATAATCCTAATTCAAGCCTTTTTACTCATTAATAT